CAGAAATGCCCGACAACTCCACAAAGTCAACGAACCCCTCAGCGAAGATCAGCCGCAGATAGTGGAAGACGCACAAGGGCCCCTCCGACACGACGGACCAGGCAGTCGATGCTTTAGAGACGGACCAACATGCACAAGCCCCGCCGGCAGAGGCTACGAAACCAGGCAAGCGAAAACGAGGCAGGCCACGCAAGTCTGATCAAGCGGCGACACCAAAAGCCGCGCCCGTCGAGATACCCGCTGAGTCGCCCGTCGTTTGCGCCGACGACGTTACAAGCGGCACTACGATGGACGGGGCGGCAACTGACGGCCCAGCCGGCGGCTTACCTGAAGAGGATGTGCCAGCAGTCACCCCCCGCGCGCGGGTGGATAAGAGGGCACTCGGAGATGCCTCTGGCAATCCAATCAAATCTGGTGACGATGTTGTCAAGATGGACAAGGTTGAGACGCAGGAGCATCAGAGAGATGAAAGAGACGCGACACCGGCCAAGCCAAAGGCAGCAGAATCGACGGCCACGTCGACGAAACGAGAGTCGCAACTGCCAGTGACACCACAGGCCGGCAAACCGCTGTACCGAGTCGGACTCAGCAAGCGTTCGAGGATTGCGCCTCTGCTGAAGTCGCTCCGGAAGACATGAGGCGGGATGAGAACGAAATGAGGCGACGCTATGTTAAGATGATGGCGACATGGCGCGCGTGCAGTGCAGCGCAGGTAGGGAGCGTGCTTGGCGAAAGAATACCCCGGTATGCATACCTACAGTACAAAGCACAGCGAAGGAAATGGACGTCAATGCTTCTCAACACTAGTGCTCCACGTGTGTTGTACCCCATACCAATCCATGTGACTTGGGCACTACACGTGCGATTGTTCCACAGTCTCCATCGCGAGTGTCTTTGGTGGCGGACGAGATGCCCAGGAGGTGTTGGCCCCCGCGGCTAGCGGATGGTGCATTTGGCGGCCAGGCCATTTTGGGCGCATCATGGGAGGGCTGAACGGTGACGGGAGGGTCATGTTTGCACCCTGGACGGCGAGGTTGGCGTGGGACCCCCCCAGCACGTCGTTCGCCTTGTCCACTCTGGCAATCTCACGTCATGTGGTGATTTGATGAAGGTGCGAGAGCCCCCTCGGGGAGAGGCTGGCTGCTAGGAGAGGATCCCCCGCGCAGCATGGGTCAGGTCTTCAAGAGTGTGTTTTCGGGACATGTGGGAGAGCTGGCAGGCTGGCAGGCAAGGCAGGGTGGCAGGTCGGAGGCTCAATCACATCACCATCGGAGCCTTCTGCAGCGTGCATCATGCGGAGACGGCCATCCGGAACAGCGGGGCTGCCCACTGAGGCTGCCGGCGACAGCGCTTTCAGCAGGGAGGCGCTGTGCCACAGTTCAGCACCTCGCCGCCGTCTCTTTAGGTGCCTGATGGTCCTTACCTCCCAGGTCGTCTTGGTACGGGTCAGCACGGGGCAGCAGGGCCACAGGGCAGTACAGGGCAGTACAGGCCACTACAGGCCAGTACAGGGCAGGCACTGAATGGCGGGACTGACGCACGGGCGACGCAACAGGGGTGAGTGAGGGGTTGGTGGTTGAGGGTTGAGGGCTGAGGGTCGAGGGTTGAGGAGGGGCTGGCTAGAGGGGCAGACTCAGAAAGGCATGGAGGGGTACGGTACGGTACGGTACCTGTCCACTACCAGGCGTGTCCCGCAACTCTGAGGTACATTCTGACCAACCCAACTTTAGCGCGGAACTTGAATCCGCCAGCTGGACTGGAAGAACGGGGGAGACCGAACTTCGGCCGGTTTTCGTGACTCGCTTTTGATTTTTTTCCCCAAGTCCATTTCCGTCTTGCGTGTGATCTGACTGATGACTGTTGTCTTTTCTCGTTGAGGCACAGCCGAATTGAATCACGTACGCGAAGGACGTCCGGCTTGCGATCAGTCAGTCGTCGCTGCCTCTCTCTCTCTCTCTCTCTTCCTCACTCTGAGCCTTGGAATATCCTCCTCTCCAATCACTTCTCTTCTCCCTTCGTCCTGCGCGACTTTACCCCCCTCCCCCTCCCTCTTTGAACTCCATTGACAGACCGACTCGAAATGGCTTCAAACGGCACAACCCCCCACAACGGTGTGGGCAACGTCGGCAGTGGTGGTGGCAGCGACCACACGCCTTCCCAGCGCTACCTGTCGACCCGCGGCGAGGACACCGATGTACGAACCCCACCCACGTCTCAGTGACCGATTGCTCTTCTTCTTCTTCTTCGTCTTCTTCTTCGTCTTCTTCTTCGTCTTCTTTTCCCTTTCCTCCCGTGTGTAAAGAGCATCCTGTTGATCCCGCCTTCCAGTTCTCCTTCGAGGAGGTCGTCCTCAAGGGTCTCGCCTCCGATGGCGGCCTTTACATTCCCTCCGAAATCCCCCAGGCCGACAACTGGCAGTCCTGGAAGGACAAGTCCTTCACCGAGCTCGCCTTTGAGATTCTCTCTCTCTACATCTCCCCCGCCGAGATTCCCTCGGAAGATCTCAAGGGAATCATCGAGAGGAGTTACTCCACCTTCCGCGCCCCCGAGACCACCCCTCTTCGTCACCTCAACGACAACTTGTACCTGCTCGAGCTCTTCCACGGCCCGACCTTTGCCTTCAAGGACGTCGCTCTGCAGTTCCTCGGCAACCTGTTCGAGTACTTCCTCGTGAGGAAGAACGAGGGCAAGACGGGACGTGACAGGCATCACCTTACTGTCGTCGGCGCCACGAGCGGCGACACGGGCTCCGCCGCCATCTACGGCCTCAGAGGCAAGAAGGATGTCTCCGTCTTCATCCTCCACCCCAAGGGTCGTGTGTCCCCCATCCAGGAGGCCCAGATGACCACCGTCCTCGACGACAATGTCCACAACCTTGCCGTGACCGGCACATTTGATGACTGCCAGGTGCGTCCGCCCCCCATTTTTTTGATGAGGCCCCCTTGCTCCTCATGCTGACACCTATTTTCCTCAGGACATTGTTAAGGCCCTCTTCGCCGACCCCGAAATCAACAAGACGCACAACCTTGGTGCCGTCAACTCGATCAACTGGGCTCGCATTCTCGCGCAGGTCGTCTACTACTTCCACGCCTACTTCGCCCTCATCAAGTCGTCAGAGACGCTGAAGCTCGGCGACAAGGTCCGCTTCGTCGTGCCGACGGGCAACTTTGGCGACATTCTGGCTGGCTACTTTGCCTTCCGCATGGGCCTGCCTGTGGCCAAGCTCGTCGTCGCGACAAACGAGAACGATATTCTCCACCGCTTCTGGACCACGGGCCGCTACGAGAAGCACGAGGCCCACGGTGCCGAGGCCGCCGGTGGCCTCGCCCAGGACGGTGCCAAGGCGCACGAGGACGGTGCCAAGGAGACGCTGAGCCCGGCCATGGACATTCTCGTGTCCAGCAACTTTGAGCGTCTCCTCTGGTTCCTCGCGTACGAATTTGCCTCGAGCGTCGGCATGGGTGACGAGTGGAACAAGAAGCAGGCGGGCCAGGAGGTCACGACATGGCTGTCAGAGCTCAAGACCAAGGGCGGCTTCGGCCCCGTCTACAAGGACGTCCTCGCAAGCGCGCGCCGCGACTTTGAGAGCGAGCGCGTCAGCGACGAGCAGACGACGGAGACGATCAGAAACCTGTACAACAGCAGCGCCGCGTACGTGCTCGACCCACACACGGCCGTCGGCGTCGCGGCATCGCTGCGGTCGATCGAGCGCAGCGGGCCTGAGGTGCCGCACATCTCGCTGTCGACGGCGCACCCGGCCAAGTTTGCTGGCGCCGTCGAGCTGGCGCTCAGGGACGAGGCCGGCTTTGACTTTGCCGGCAAGGTGCTGCCGCAGGAGTTTGTCGGGCTCGAGAGCAAGGAGAAGAGGGTGTCGGAGGTGGCGGCCGACTGGAAGCAGGTGCGCGCTGTGGTGACGAAGCAGGTCGAGGAGGAGCTCAAAGGCCACTCGAGCTAAAGGGGTTTCTGCCTCTCCGTCATGGAGTCGAGGTGACGCAAGAAGAGATGGACGGGGTCTCGTCAGGGTGGTAGAGCGTCGGCAACGACATGGAAACGCTGAAACGTGGAAAAGAAGTCATGAATTTGGGAGGAGGGTGAAGGCATTTACGCAGCACGCGACATGCATGCAGTGACGCTGCTCGGGCGGCAGCGAAGACAGGGCTGGATCGGCATGTGGGATACATGTAGAGTCAACCAATATACCTTGGCCGGCAGGCCTTTGAAGACCATGCCACCTGACCACCCAAGTGGCGGATGTTGTCTTTGTGGACATTCATGACAGGGCGAGCGGCTGCTGCTCTCGCTGCCGCAGTCGAGCGAGGCGTTTGGCGGGCCCATCGGGAAGGAGTCGAGACAGGATGGGTCAGGGTCAGCACGAGGTCCTGGCCAGGATTTATCTGCCCTCGCGCGCTTGGGCGAGAGATGCCGACATGTGATCACCAGCGCCCCTTCCCCTTGACGGCATCGGTATTGTCACTTATCAGCCCTCACAAAATGGGCGCCATACACACGCCCGCCAGGTCTGCATGCAAGTTCTGTCCTGAATAAGCGACAGTGCCACGCCCGTTTCGAAACGACTGCCATGGAGAGTACTTGCAACAACTGCCATGGGGAGTATTGGCAACAAGGCAAACGTGTGTACATGTGCGAGACGAGAAGCATTCGTAGGTCGCAAATGTGCCAACGCGGCGGCCTAGCTCGGAACCACAACGGGTGGGGCTTTTTGGGCGATGAGCAAAATGCTAACGCCGATGCCGGGGTGTCAGTCGCTGGAGACAGGTGGGGAAAAGGGTTTGTTGTGTTCCGTGGGCATGTGTTAGTGTGAACCAAGCGGCGGGAAATCGAGGGATATCATGTGATCGGCTTTGGTCGAGATATCGTCAATGATGGCCTCAATGACTGCTAGACAGCTGGACTTGATGTCGTCTGTGGGGATGAATGCTTTGACCATGTTGTGTATGTACTTGCCTGGCACACAGAGAAGACAGAGATGAGGTAAGCAATGTAGAGCCCTCAGACCTGAACACAATTCACTTCTGTACATTCTCCACCAACCTCGACGACTCGACCATGACCAACCGCTCGCAGAATGTCTCACAGAACACCATTCCCATCAGCATTCCATTTCCATGCGGTGCACGCAGGGCCGCCGTCTTGGGATCGAACCAGTGCGGCCCGAACAAGATCCTGAACAAACGACATGCGCACACCATGGCGTCACGCCCTTCCTGCTGGTGCAACCCGACGTTCTCAGCTGGGTCGGTTCGTCGGAAGCCTCACCAACAGAGGGACACCCCTCCCCCCCTCCCCTGCACGTCCCGAGGTGCCATTCCCAGCCCCCACGACCCAAAGCAACCCAGATCAAGAGAGTCTGTCAATGGCAGTCCCCCGGCCTGCACGCACCGAAGCAGCACCCACCTCCACCAAGCCGGCTTCATTGGCCGCGTGCCAGCGTGCGGGCACCACTGGCAGGGTTCTCAGGCCTCTGTACCTCATCGGAGCTTCCACCGAGTGCTGGGCGTCATGGAATTGATGGAATATGGCAAGTGATGGGGTGGCCGTGCAAGCCGTGCAAGGAGGACAGCAAGGAGTACAGCAAGAAGGCGGGCGGGGAGGACAGCAACGAGCACCCGATCGCCATCATCGACTTCCCCTTTGAGGCCTGGCAAATCGGCCTACCCACACCTATCCGCACGCTAGAGGCTAGAGGGGGAAGCTTCTCAAAGCTACACCCCCGCACCCGACCCGGACCGTACTGGCCTGACCTGTACTGGCCTGGCTGGTACTGGCAACTCTCTTTTTGCGTTGCGGCCGGCCCTCTGGGCTCATTGCTCGATCGACTGACACCATCACCACCGACGCGCTAGCTGGCACATGGTGTGCATGGTACCTGCTACCTGCTACCTGCTACCTGCTACCTGCTTCCTGCTTTCGCCTTTGTCTTGGTAGTGCAAGGATTCGAGGCTGCATGCGAACCTAAAAAAAGGCGTTTGCTCTCTCAAGCTCCCCCTCCCACTCGCCAACTTGGAGGGTGAGGGCGAGGGCGAGGGCGAGGGCGAGGGCGAGGGCGAGGGTGAGGGTGAGGGTGAGAGGGGAAAGCGGCACACTGCATTATAACCCGTGGCCTGGCCTGACGTCGAGCTGCCGTGATCTTTTCTTGATCGCTCTGCTTTCCTCCCACCCTATTCCTGACCTCTCTGCCTACCGGCTCATCGCCCAATATGGCTCCCTCCTATCGCAATGTCGTGCTCGTCGCTTTGGCTGCCGTCGCCTCCGCCGATACTGAACCTACGGTGTGGGGTTCCGTCGCCGTCATCATGAACGGCGAGCGCACTCCCCTCCGCGGCGGTCTCGCGAGCACCATCACACCCCAGGGCGCCCAGCAGATGTACGGCCAAGGCGTCGCCTTCAGGCAGCGCTACATTGACGGGACGAATGCCCAGGACAACCTCTTCAGGGCGCCGATCCGCGGCATCGAAAGGGACACGCTCGACAACTCGCAGCTCACCATTCTGACCAACACCGACGTCCACACCATCGCCGGCGCCACTGCTTTCCTGCAGGGCCTCTATCCTCCCATCGATGACGAGTTTCTGCACGAGGCCGGCGGCGTCAGCCTGTCCTACGATGCTGCGACAGACAACTACACGCAGTACCCTCTCAACGGTTATCAGTACCCCGCCATCAGCACCCTCTCCACTCTGGAGGAGACCTCAATTCCGTAAGTGCCTCAGCGAGTGCTCTACTCTGCTCTGCTTAGCCACCATTCCCGCTGACACGGTGCCAGTCTCCATGGACACAAGGGGTGCTTTAACTGGCTGAATGCCATGGACAAGCTGCTCGACGATGAGAATATTCGCAAGGAGGCCGACGCCACGCTCGAGAGCTACCAGGAAATCTTCTCCTCGCTACCTCTCAATGGCGCCTTTACTGGTGACTTTCCCTCATTCTGGAACGCCTACGACGTTTTCGACTATGTGCGATACCAATCCAACCACAACTCCACGATTCACCGGCAGCTCGAGGAACCTATCCTGTCGGAACCTACCCTCGAATTCCTCGAACGAAATGCCTTCAAGCAGCAGCTGGCCCTCAACACCGACAGCTCCCTGTCGGGTGCCTCGACGCGCGACCCTGTTCGAAGCATCGCGGGGCAAGCGCTCGCCCAGGGGATCCTGGACGCGCTGGCTGCCGTCGTCTCCTCTCGCGGCGAGACGGACAAGCTCACCCTCATGTTCACCTCGTTCCACCCGTTCATTGCCTTTTGGTCGCTCACCCAGCTCTTGACCCCCAGCACCGACCCTTCTTCGCCATACGCCTCGTTCCCGGCCCCGGGCTTCTCCATGGCCTTTGAGCTCATTGGCGACCAGCCCGGCCAGCCCGGCCAGTTCCCCTCGAACGACCATCTTCGGGTTCGCTTCGCGATCCGCAACACAAACTCCTCCACCCCCTTCCGCGCCGACAACCTCTTTGGCACCCCCGTCTCCGAGTACATCATGACGCTCGACTTTTTCGCGACCCAGA